AATATTATTTAAATAATTTCATAATCTTGCACTTTTTTTTTCACGTGGTCACGTGAAAAATACCTTTATTTTATTAAATCAATATATCTACCCCCCAAAATCTATCAAATATATATATATATACCCGAAAATATTTTTATTTAAGAACAAAATGAAACAGTAACACTTACTTGGTCCGCCAGTTTGTCAACCTCCATAGACACGTTGGAGATGGCGGCGAGTGCTCTCTGGATCTTAGCATTCTGCCGCATCTCGTCAAATCTCCGCTCTATGCTGGCGGCGTCCTCCACCAAGATCACCTTTGACCGATCTTTGACTCCACAAACGTCCAAGTACTCGACGTTTTCTCTCTCTTTCCCCCTAAATATCAGCCTCTGATCCGCTGGCTGCAACCCTGTTTCCGCATTCAGAATCTTCTTCAACTCCCCTATTCGTCAAAAAAAAAAAAGGTCACATTTACCATTTTACCCTGGTATAGGCTTTTTTTTTTTTTTGGTAGAATGGTATATGCTTATTGATTGTTAGTATTCTTGGAAAAACACAAGAGCATCACGGTAAAATCACAGACGATACATATCAAACCGAACGGTTTTTCTCTACTAAAAGTGAAAACGTTAAGCAAAGTCAGTCAAAGTTTCCACCAACACATCCTAAAGTCTCCTCTTTTTTTTTAAGCAATTGCTATCCAAATAAATTTCCTAACTAGTGGATTTTTGCTTCTCTGAGAAACGAAAACAGAAATCAAAAGTAATACCAAACAAAATGGTTAAGGAATCGTTCTCTTTCATAATTGGAATATATTTGTTAAAATTTAATAAATAAAAATATATTACAGGGGTTAATTTAGTACGGCGTACAAAAATTGTCCCATTGCACAATAATTTGATTGTTATACCAAAAAAAAAATGAAACAAAATCTAACTAGATCCAGGTTGACTACTTACCAAAAGTGGCTTGAGAGTTCACCGAGATCTCGTACCGGAGAGCCCCGAAAGCGATACGCAGGCGAATATTCCGAACCGAAACGTCCGTCATTTCGGTTCTCATCTGCACCAACATTCCTCCTGGTCTCATTTCCCACTCAGTATCTTCCTCTCTGGAAGTAGATGACGATGATGTATTATTAGAGCTTTCGAACTTCCTGCCAGACGCCGGATTGGACCTTCTCTTCATCATCTTCACACAAGGAAATCAAAGCCACAACTTTCCCGAGAAAAATTTTTGTTTCTAGTTTTCTTTCTCTTTATTCTAGGGAAAATGATGGAAAATATCTGTAAGGTATTTGGTATTTGTTTCTCTCGCCGACACAAAGGGAGACTAACGTGGGCACATGGAAATGTGGGGGGGTTTTTTGTATGGGACTTTAATTTGCAGCGGATGCTGTGGCTTTGAGTCTCGGGGGTTTTGCTTGAAGTACATGGGTAAAATGACGGGATGATTTTTGAACCAATGGGGGTGTGCCACGTGGAGGTGTCAGATTGCTTATACTGACAGCTAAGCAGAGGACTTGCCGACAGTTCAAAGGAAAAGGAAGGAAGTAAGGAAGCATCCAAGACAAGTGAAAAAGTGGACTTTGCCTTTGCCAACTTATGTTTGCCATGTTACAGTACATCTTGAAACGTGGAGGGTGTGATTGGATATTTTTCCTGTTTTTATTAATATTTTTAGGAAAATTAAGTACAAAAGTGAAACTGTTTTACTCTAATTCAATTGTTTAATGACATTCCCCAACCGACCAAAATATTCAATTCTCATATTTTTTTAGTTTATTGTTCAAACAAATAAATGATATTTAATTAATTGAAAGTAGAGTTTTTTTTTTTTTTTTTGGTTTCCAAATTTTAATTTTTTAATTAAAAACAACTTTTAGCATTAAAAGACATACTTTTATTTAATAATTTAAATTATATATCATAAAATAATTTAGATCATACAACAGTATTTTTTTTGTTGAGTATATAAGACTATATAATGGGTGAAGGAGTTATCGACTCAAAAGAATTTAAAATTTCAAGGAAATGGGTAAACATTGATCCTTGTATTTTTTTTTCCATAAAATTTTTCTGCCAGAGTATGTTTAATTTATAATTTGATACACAAAAGATATATATTTTTAGTACATTGATTTTAATCTTAAATTAAAATTTTTGAGTTCATGAATATCAATAGCTAAGTTATTGTTAGTAAAAGATATAAAAATAGTATGGGTAAAATATTTTTGAAGTTAATTAATGGGTGCATTCAAATTAATTCAACTAAAATAAAAGGAGGAAATCTAATGACTAATGAGAAAACGGTTGATTGTTTAATTTGAAATACGGTTTGACTAGTAGTTAATTTTTGCTCATAAAAAAAAAAAAGGATTAGTAGTTAATTTGGCTTTGGACTTAAGCAAGTTTGTTAAACTTTCGTTAAGGAAATAAGTAGGAACTTTGGGCTTAAGTTAGTTATCTAGTTTCATTTTCGTTGTGGTAGGAAATTGAAAAGGGCAGATATTATGACGGAAACTAAATTCCTAAGCAAATCTGTGAGGACAAGACTTTAGGACGAATGGATGATGTAGTGACGGTATAATTATATATGATGTTTCAATTTCACCTTATTGATAGAAGAATTTATGGTCTTTCCAAGGCACTCTCTTTCTTTCTTGCTTTCTTCTTCTCTCTTTTTTTTATTTTTTGGGCGGATATGTATTTCTTAGGAGTTAGGAAACAGAAAATTAGTCTTAACACAACCAATTTGCTCTAACAATAACTTAAGCTGATATGCATAATTTGTAAAATCTAAGTAGTGTTGGATTTAGTTGTTTACGTACAAATAATAATTGTTGATTGACTCATAATATTTATTATAATATGAAGTATTTAACTTATTTAATTAAAATTAATAAATAATAATTATTTGTAAATCACTAAAACAAACACTTTTAAAACTTTATTGTCAAGCTGAAGAGCCATGATCTATTCAAATTTCAATTTGTAGCAGGGCAATATTAATCTATGTTGAAAAATATTTCGTCCACAGCACAAGGGGTTCCACCACGCTGCCACCCGAATGAGCAGTCCGATCGCGACGCCCCGCAGAATCAGATGACCATGGTTGTGTTTGAAATTTTTGTAACATAATGTAATTGTAGGTTTTTTAGTTAAAAAATTTTATATTATTATTTAATAATTATTTTTTAAAAAATTATATATTAATATTATCATAAAATTATATAAAATATTAATTATTTAATTTTAATTAATTAATATTTTTTATAAAATACTATTTAAAAAAGTACTGCATAAAAGCAATCTAATATACTGTTACGGGGCATATGGTGTGTTTGGTACGAAAAGATCAATCATAAAAGCGATTCTAGAGCTGTCAAAATGGAAAACATTTTAGCAGTGTAGTTTTGTAGCATAAACCAGCTATGATTTGATCATTGGTGATTGGCTCGTGATGATCTTTAGTCCACGTGGAAAATTGATGTTCCTTCCCATCCTGGATACTACCAATTATGAAGTGCCATGTCAGCATAACTAACACATCATGGCAGCCCTCGTTGTGGACCATTTTTGTTTTTAGACCGGTAGAATTTGAGAATAGGAGATAGATAAAATTTTTTGAACAGAGCCTGTTAAAATATTAAATATACTTATTAAATGGTCCATGACCTACTGGAGACTTGGCTGTGCATATCCACTAGGTAAGGATGAATTAGCCAGTGAACTAACAGAATGCACCACCACTAACTGTAAAATCTTTTTGGAGGTTCAAATTTAATTTAATCTTTTTTAGGTTAAAACCTTAATTTGGTCTCTTTACTTTGATAAAAAATCACTTTCTAATCTTTCTACTTAAAAAAGTCTCTTTTTAGTTCTTAAAATTTAAAATTCAACCATTTTTTTAATTCATTCGTTAAGTTTTGACATTAAATAACAAAAATTTCAAATGAAAAAGAGATCAAAAAAGATATTTTTTTCAAAGTAGAGGGACTAAATTGAGGCTATTTTTAGTCCATTTTTAGACCTTTTTAGGTCCATTTACTTAGAAATTTTTATTATTTAACGTACTACGTAGGTAAAACTTAATGGAAAGACTAAAAAAGGGGATTGAATTTCAAATTTTAGAGGCAAAAAAGGAGCTTTTTAAAATAAAATGACTAAAAAAGAGCTTTTTACCAAAGTAGATGACCAAAATGGGGATTTAACTTTTTTTATTTATTTTTTAGAGAGTGACTAATGAGTAGTAATTCTTTATAAATTTTTTAGGATATATTTGATTTGAGAGAAAAAGAGAAGTATGAGCAAAGGAAAAGGAGGAAAGCCTTTTACTTCTTTTTTTTTTTTTTTTTCCATCTTCACTTCATTTCTTTCAAACAAAAACCTACCCTTAATTTTGTTTATACAAATGAAGTCCTTATTAATTAATACTAGAAGGTTTGCCGAATTAGTATTATGATAAGCACAATCTAAAGCACTAAATCAAGATACTACTTGACTACAATTAAAAAAAAAAATTGCTACAATTGATAAGATTCAATTAGGGATTTACCAAAGAATAAAAAAATTAAGATTCAATTATAAGTAATATGTTTGGTTTGAGGGAAATTGAGCAGAGAAGAGACTACATGTTTTATTAATTAAATTATAATGTTGAGAAATAATATAATATATATAATTGGTCAAACAATTTATTTATTCCCTCTTCCTTTCCATTCTCTCAAATCAAATATATAATTAGGGATGATCATTAAAAAATGAAATAGGGAAAAAAAGTGAGATGGACTGGGCTCAGAGCGCCGCAGCGTCATGTATGTAAATAATAAACACATATATATATAGTCCTCTCTTCTCTTCTTTTCTTTTCCGCACGCTGTGGCCCAGTATCTGTATCTTAATTCTTAACAATCCTTGTGGCCCAATCAAGACTTTGGGCTCTGGGAAGAAGGTCCATGTTATTGTTTATCCTTCTCAATTCTCGTGATATTATCCGGAGTTCTGGACTGCATACGGTGTCGGAAATCCGGAGACGGCGGGCTAAGAAGGCCAAGAAAGAAACGATACCGTAGAACTGTAGAAGGAAGATGAGGAAGGAACCTCTTCGTCGGCAATATTCATCAGCGACCAAGCCAGCCAGGACCATTCGTCAATCCCAACGTTCAATTGCTATTTGTGACTTATTTCCGGCGATTTACTTTCCTGTGAGATACTTCAATGCCTATTTATTCCATAAATATTGTCTCTAAGTTTTGCTTTCTCTGTGTTCAATTGTTAGCGAGGGAGGAAGAAGAAGATCTGGTTTCAGTCTTGCGATTGAACTGATGGATATGGAAGGAAGTAAGTTTGGGGAAGGTAAGATCGATTACATATAACAGCTTCTTTGATTTTAGATTTAACCTTTTTTTTTATTTTGTTTTGTATTCACTGCTTATCGGAGCTTCACGACGAGAAGAATATGTCGTGGAGTTTAAATACAGTGATAAAGAAATTTGAGCCCTATGAAACACTTCTGATGGTGAAGTCATGGCTGGGAAAAGTTTAGAGAAATCAGTGACTCAGATATATTTAATCCAATATGTTCTTTAGGAGTTGATGTGGTTGCTGTTCTTGTTCATTACTCACTAAATCACTTGTGTTTTTTGATTTGCGTACTATGTTCAAGCAAGATAGCAATTGTTCTAACTACTGATGTTCTTGGCATTTTTTCTTTTTCAGTACAACAATTAACAAATTAAGATTTTATACACAATTCCTGATTTGGGTTCTTCTCTTTTGCTTTCTTATCTGAAATGATATTGATTTGTGTTCCCATTTTCAATTTTGTTTCTGTTTTGCGAGTTATTAGCTATTGCATTCATACATTTTATTTAGTTGAGGTCCTTTGTTGAGTAAACAGGGCCTAGAGAATTAGGTGGTGCTGTTGATCTCATTACTCAGTTCAAGCTGTGGCCTTACCATGAATTCTTCTGTAAGAGGTTGCTCCACTATGTCAATCTCAGAGACACGCTATCTCCATAATGTGGTGGGTGACACAGAAGTCAGGAAGGGTGAAGGGATTGAGTTGGCTCAGCTTTTTTAGAATGACTCCTTTAGAGGGAAAAATCAGCATTTTAATCCCTTTGACTTTGGATTTACTTATGGAAGCCTTTCGGATTCGAGAAACAGCTCCTGTTGACCTGCTGTCTGTAAGACACTTCCTTCACCCATTTGTCTAAATATTCACCAACTTTTCTTTGTAATATTGTGATTGGCCATTTGCTTCAAAAAAACAGTATATGTGCACTCTTTTATATAAAAATTATTCATTGCAGTCTAGTGTCTAGCAGGTAGTAAAGGGGATCCCCACTGTGGTGGCTAAATAAAAAATGGAGTCCAAAGACAAGGGGACGAAGCACAAAAGCCAAATGAGAAAAGATAAGGAGAAGTATAAAGGTAGTAAGAAGCACAAACATCATTGCTGAGATGGTGGGAAGAGTGATAAAGGGAAAAATAAAATCAAGCATCATGATTTGGGTGCTGAGTACCTGCAGAAACAGCAAGAAAGGTTTATATTTTAGTTCTCTTTTGAGGCTGTGTCAGGCATTGCATTCTTTAGATTGTTTATTCTTCTTGATATTATGAAGGAAAAGAAAAGATTATAAGATGATTTTTCTTGAGGATTGCCATGTATTATTTTTTGTTCATAAATAAAGAATCTAGATTTAAGTAGTAGCAAATTCTCATAATAACATTGTGAGAATAGAAGCATTTACGAAGTTTAGTTTGTTACTTTATTTGATTGTTGAGAAACAAGAATTTCCGACCATCTGAATAGGGATTGACTCCTTCAAAGCATGCTTGGTAATGAAGATAATCTAATATTAGTTCCAAGACAGCTATTGGAATTCATTGCTCTACTGATTTTGCTGAAGAAAAATTTCTCTGTTTAATAGTTTCTGGACTACCATTCTGTTACCTTAAGACGTCACATACCATGATACCAAGTTAAATTTTTTGTTTGCAGCCACAAATGATTTAATGCAATGCTATGAATTTTTACCTAAAGAAGTCTTCTCTCAGACCTGGCATGGTTAGCCTTAAATAGTTTCTTATCACCTTCTCTTATTCTTTCAGAAAAGAAAGTATATTGGGAATGAAGATCTTTTTTATTCCAGCAGATATCAGAATTAGGAGGCTAATAAAATCAAACTTAGAAATTTTTTAGAACTTTTTTGCCTTTACTTCCGGCAGTTTTATTCCCATGGTTATTCTCTCTCTCTCACACTCACACACGCTATAACTTATTTTTAATACTGGTACATAACGGACCACTGACTTGCTTTTCCTTTGATCATCCCAAGATGCCAACTTAAGATGGTGCCAGTGGTGATTTTCCCTTTTACATTTGAAGGATGGTATTTGCAGTCTCTTGCACCACCTTCCAAGCCCTGATGGCGTGTTTTTCCTCTGTCAGAGTGACTCCAATTGCACATCGAATAACAAAGATCTCCCCAATCATAGAATGAGTCATGTAAACCTTTCCTGAGGCGTTGACCAACTCCATCAGTTTCTGGTTCAACTTATTTGCAGAGTCTAGCTCCACACCTGCACCAAATGCTGATGGCACCATCCTGAAACATACCATGGCGAAGTTCCTAGGAACCACCACCTCAAACCTTTTGTCACCACGCACGAGCGCTTCGAATGATTTGGCCATCGTTACATGACTTCTTTGGAAGTTTCTAAGGTTGGCCACACCGTAGCTTCTCAGGACAAGCCATAGCTTTATGGCACGAAACCTTCGACTTAAGGATATTTGCCAATCCTTATAGTCCACAACTTTCTTCGATTCACTTGCTTTGTTGCTTAGATACTCAGGGCTTGTTGTGAGAGACTTTGTAAGAGCACTTGGGTTTATCAACCAGAGACAACAACAGTCCAAATTGGTGAATAACCATTTATGGGCATTGAGACTAAATGAGTCTACACACTCTATGCCATTAAGAAAATGTCGAAACTCAGGGCAAATACAAGCACTTCCTGCCTGAGCAGCATCGACATGAACCCAAATGCCATGTTCTTTAGCTATGTTGCATAATGGCCCCAGGGGATCAACAGCATTAATTCCAGTTGTCCCAATCGTGGCACAGAGAAACAGTGGGATCAATCCATCTTCTATATCCTTGCTAATGGCCATTTTTAATGCTTCTGGGGATAGTGCAAATGATGTTGATTCGGTTGTTTTGATGGATCGAAAATTCTCAGGGTGGATGCCAGCAATTTTAGTTGCTTTCTCTAGTGAACTGTGAGTTTGATCTGATGCATAAACGACCAGCTTCCCTATCTTCTCTCTCCCAATTTTGCTTAACATTTGATCTCTTGCAGCTACTATTGTGCACAAGATGGCCTCACATGTAGTCGCTTGTATCACACCCCCGCCATTTCCAGAGAAAAGGAAGGAAGAAGGAAGCTTAAGCATCTGTCCAAGCCAATCCATGACTATGGACTCTAGCTCAGTGGCAGCTGGTGAAGCCACCCAACTGAATCCCACGATATTGAATCCAGAGATGAGCATTTCTCCAAGAAATCCTGCCGTACTGATACCTGCTGGCAAGTATGCAAAGTGGTTAGGGCTTTGCCAATGTGTTATGCCAGGAATTATGTGCTTCTGGACATCTTGGAGGATTGTTTCTATCTGCTCTGGACAATGTGGAGCTGAATCAGGTAAGCATTTTCGAAGGTAACCAGGCTCAACGTTGCTCAGAACTGGGTATTTTTCAATATCTTGATAATAATCAGCTATGAAATCTATCATTATGTGGCCTTGCCTTCTAAACTCCTCGAGGTTTAAAGGGTTAATAGTGTTGGGAGAGTTCTCTTGAAGTTCAGGGCTAAATTTGAGGCTGTCCATTTTGATTGAAACAAAGCTGCGAAAGGCTTGTTGTTTGGAAGAAGTGAGTTTAGTGTTTTGGGAATGAAGAGGGAGATTACGTTTATGTGCCGTTGAAGGAAAAATCACTGGCTTTAAATAGAGGGTGGGAGGCAACTAGCGGCCGAAATGCTCCAGCCACAATTATTTAAACAGGCACACTTAATTCGTGCACCAGAAACAGAAATGAAGTCACTATCCTTGTTTGTTAATTCGTACATCTGATCCAATTCAATTGATTTACCCTCAATTAATCCAATTTAATAAAAAATTAAACCAAATCAATATAAAATTAAATTACTTTGAATTATAAAATTTTAAAACCGATATAATTGGTTTAGCTTATAATTTTACTTTCAAAGTGCTTGAACCGTTCGATTGGTTTAGCTTATAATTTTACTTTCAAAGTGCTTGAACCGTTCGATT